GGTTCAGCATTAGGCACATAATCCAAGCTGAACCAATGAAACTCAATCCCTGGGGCTATTAGAGGTTCTGCTATGTTTGATGAACTATAGCCCATAAACCTGGAACTTCTAGAGAGCATCTTTCCATTATAGGGAGAAAGACTGACAGAGAACAATATCAATATAGAAGAAAGCAGAGCTGAATGATGAAGATGCCTCTGAATCCCTGGATCCATTCATGCCTGAAGTCACCATGACATAATCCTACACTTCTCAATTTCATGACCTGATAAATTTCCCTTTTGGTTTAAGCCCCTTTCGGCTGCATGTTTGTCACTTGCACTTGAAAGGGTTATGTCTCATTCAAGGTTGTCATCTCCACTGGAAGGTGAAGAAACTGAGGTCCGGGAAGTTACTTGCCCAAGGTCCTTGGATGTTGAGTAACAGAGCTGGGACTGGAACCCAGGTCTCTAAGGCCAGTTATCACTCCTGCTGTTCTGCAAGCAAAGAATAGGTGTCCCGGTTATTGCTGGTCAGTGCTGGCTCCAGGAGAAACATGTGCCATTTTTCAGGACAGATGCTCCAGTGAGACGATCAGCCAAGGCCTTGGGAAAATGCTTCACCAAGCCCTAGAGAACCATCACCAATTGTCCCTTGAAGCTGGGCATACCCAGAGTGACTTGGCCCTGGGGCTTGCCCAGTCAAGAGACAATTACAGAGCACAGAGACTGCCCTTTTTCAGGAAGGTGAGGCCCACGGCTCCTTCCCTCACCCCCACCCCAGGTGCAGCCCTGAGCCAGGATCGTGAGGACCAGTGCCAAGGTCCTTGGCTTGGGGTGAGGGGTGCCAAGAGGGGAGGCTGAGCTGTGGCCAGGGGTGGCCCCAGGAAATGTGGAGCTAAGCCGGTGCTTCCCAGTCTTCAGCCACACCAAGGCCACCTTTAAGAATTCTGCCATAGGGACCTCCCTGGTGGTCCAGTGTTTAAGAATCCGCCTTCCAATGCAGGGTACGTGGGTTCGATCCCTGGTCAGGGAACTAAGATCCCATGAGCCACAGGGCAACTAAGCCCACGCGCCACAGCTGTTGAGCTTGGGCACCTCAACAAGAGAGCCCGCGCACTCTGGAGACTGAGTGCCACAACTAGAGAGCCTGCCTGCGGCAACTAAGACCCGACACAGCCAAATAAATAAATAAATAAATAAATATAAAAAAAGAATTCTGCCATAGCCAAGTGTCACCTTTACTTCATATTTTCCTATTTCAATAAATGCAAGCACACTTTGGAGATATTTCAGCCCAGACCATTGTAATAAAGCAAATACTGCAATGAAGGGAGTCACGCAAAAAATTTTTTTCCCAGTGCATATAAGAGCTTTGTTACACTATATTGTGGTCTATTAAGTGTGCAGCAGCATTATGTCTAAAGAAAACAATGTACATACCTTAATTAAAAGTATTTTATTGCTAAAAAAAATGATAACCATCATCTGACAATGCAGGGTTGCCACAAACCTTCAATTTGTAAAAAACGTAATATCTGCAAAACACAAAGTGAAGCAGTCAAACGAGATACGCCTGTGCCTTTAATCGCTTTCATGAATTGAAAACTGGTGTCGCTCGTCAAAAATATTGACCCCAAAGATAAACACAATGAACACAAAATGATGTTGTTAAACTTTAACTCAAGATAGCTGCCCTAGACTGCCGACCTGGAGTCTGGCTGTTAGTTAGAAAGGTGTTAAAGAGAGGCCAGCACCAAGGCCTTGCCGTTGAAGCACATTCACTGCTGTGCGGCGACCAGGTAAAGCTATCTCTTCTGTGGCCAGCGGCACTCCTGTTCATCTCAAGCTTTGGAAAACACCGAGGTAGGCAAATTGTAAACCCTGGACAAATGCTCACGAGCCATGGAAGGGTATATTTAGAGCGCCATTTCTGCCCAAAGCTCTGGAAGAGCAGTCACTCCAAGTAAGCAAGAACTGTAACCCAGACAGGAAAACAGAAAAAGCAATAAAGACAAGCCCACTGAGGGATCAAGCCTCGGTTAAATCATTCATTCATTCAACATTTATTGAGCGCCTACTGTGTGTCAGGCACCGTGCTAGGCGCAGAAATACAGAGATGCATAAGATACAGTCCATGCCCTGAAAGGTTCACAGTCTAGAAGGGGAGACAAACATGTAAACAACTAAAATACAGTATGATAAGTGCCACAACAGAAGCATTTACAAAGAGGAGAGGTAGCCTGGAGGGGGGAGGGACACGGGGGTGGTCTTCCTGGAGGAGGGGGCCTTTGAGGGGGATTGTGAGAGACGAATAGGTGTTTGCCAGGCAGACAAGGCAGGAGGAGCAGGGTAGTAGCATTCCATTCTGAAGAAACAGCATGAGCGAAGGCACAGAGGCATGAACTGCATGTTTTGAGGGGCGGGGAGCTCTATTCTGGCGGTATTGCTGAAGTTGGCTCCAGAGGCTGTGGCTGGAGAGGAAGGCAGAGGCAGGATGATGAGGAGAAACTGAGAGCAGGAGACATCTCGGAGGCGCCCCAGAGGAGACCAGAGCCCGAGGGAAGGAAGGCTTCCACCCAGGAAGAGAAGGTTCCTGGACCCAAGTTACGCCCGCTTGAGGACCATGGGAGTCCTCACTGCAGCCCCAAAGGGACTGGATCCAAGGCCAGAGGAGGAGCTGAACTGAGGGAGGGCTGAACAGAGGGGAAGGGCCCAGGCTTGGGGTCCTGGAAGCTGCCACTCATTCGAGAGCTCTCCGCTCCTGGACTTTTGATTTCTGCTCTCTGCTGCGCAGATCCCCTGCTCCCACCATGATGGGGCCAGGGGCCAAATTAGAAATGACCCGGGAATGTCTTTCGCTAACTGCAAAGGTCAAGATGAATGGCTTTACTAACTAAAAGAGGAAAGGGTTGAGGATAAAGCAGGAGTTCCTCAGAATATGGGCCATAATGAGAAAACCAGAGTCGCCCTGGTGGACGATGGCTCTCTGGTCCCCTGGGGAGGAGGGGCCCTGCTGGCCCAGGGCAGGGGCAGAGGCCAGCTGTGCAGGGAGCATGTGTGACCTACAAGACTGTGGGGCTGCAATCCCAGCCTCTTGGTATCTCCTCAGCCTGAGGTCAAGTTTTCTTGGCAACCAGGATCCTCCGCCTTCCAGGCAGTAGGGGAGTCACCGAGGCAGAGATTGTCCACAGCCAGGCTTCCAGCCCTTTCCTCTTTCTCAGAAATGGCTCTGTTTGAAAAATGCCTTCATGGGGGCTGGGTGGAGGCGGAGCAGGGAGGCTGGGGGAGGAGGGGCAGACTCTCAGTAAACCAGAGCCCAGGTGCCCCTCTGAGTGACCACTTTTCCAAGGCACCACACCTCAGGCCACTTTGAGGGAGTGAGTTTCTTTC